ACAGAACAACTGTGTCAACTCTTGAAACTGTGCCTGCAGTCAACCTACTTCACATATGGGGAGCAATATTATAGGCAGAAACATGGGTGTGCTATGGGGTCTCCAGTTTCTCCTATTGTTGCCAACCTGTACATGGAGGAGGTAGAAAAGAGAGCCTTGACGTCCTTTTCAGGGACACCACCAAGTCATTGGTTCAGGTATGTTGACGACACATGGGTTAAAATCAAATCTCAGGAAGTCCAACATTTTACTGACCACATCAACTCTGTGGATAAATACATCAAGTTCACACGAGAAGATGAAAAAAATGGCAAGTTGGCTTTTTTGGACTGTGAGGTCTCAGTCTCTGATAGAGGACATTTGCAAACTGAGGTGTACCGCAAACCCACCCACACAGACCAGTATGTGCAGTTTCACCCCCATCACCCTTTGGAGCAAAAGTTAGGAGTCATCGGGACTCTGAACCACAGAGCAGACAGCATCCCCACTAACTTGGGAGCCAGGCAGAAGGAGAAATCCCACACAAGACAGGCTCTAGAGCAATGTGGATATCCTAACTTCGCCTTCCTGAAAGCAGAAAAGAATCCCAAACAGGACTCCAGTGAGCCATCAGGTGAAAAGGAGGAACCCAGACCCAGACCAGTGGTCATTCCATATGTTGAGGGAGTATCAGAGAAACTGAGACGTTTATTTTCTAAACACAACGTCCCAGTGGCTTTTAAACCCCAAAATACATTACGGAAAAGACTGGTTCATCCTAAAGATCCAGTCCCCCGGCACAAACAGAGTAATGTGTATGCTGTTCAGTGTCAGGAGGGTGATCAGTCTTACATCGGGGAAACAAAATGGCCATTGGCCAAAAGGATGGCCCAGCACAGAAGATCAACGTCATCAGGCCAGGACTCTGCGGTCTACACTCATCTCCAGGCCAGCGGTCACTCTTTCAGGGATGAAGATGTTCACATCCTGGACAGAGAGGAACAATGGTTTGAGAGAGGAGTAAAGGAGGCCATCTTTGTGAAAAGAAATCGTCCATCATTAAACGGGGTGGAGGCCTCCGGGTTCAACTGTCCCCCTCTTACAATGCTGTGATTGCTAGTATCACTCAACCCTCTGTGAATAGTAAACAGCCATCAGTGTGCTAATGATCCATCGCTAGGCTGATGGTCCTTCTTGATCATGTGAGCAGCTGGTTTTGGTTGTCAGCAGCAAACTGGTTGATCCACTCTGAGAAGGTGCTATTTATAAGACTGAGCTGAATACAGCACCTCAGACTGAGGAAGTCTTTCGGATGAGAGACGAAACGTTTCTACATTTATTTTTTGTTGTCGTTTTGCTTTGTTTTGTTTTTTGAATGTCCAGAGGACCAGATTTAACTTTTAGATTTTTCTACCTGGATTATTGTGCATGTATTAGGATATTTATTAGACATGTTTGGACAGATGCGACTCATAGGGCAGTGCGACGTGCATGGCAGAAAATATGGTATTTAAGGCAGGATAATTTAATGTGACAATATTTTTACTCATTTCTTGAACAGATTAAGATTTTAAAAAGTTCAAAATGGCTCTCTAGTTCCTCTCAAACCCAGCCGGTCGAAGCAGATGGCCGCTCATCCTGAACCTGGCTCTGCTGGAGGTTTCTTCCTGTTAAAAGGGAGTTTTTCCTTTCCACTGTTGCCTTTGTGCTTGCTCTGGATGGGAGACTATGATGAAGTGAAGATTCAACGTGTCTGCTGGCTTTCTTGGATGGATACATTTTAATAATTGGCTTTTTCATGTATGTGAATGTTTCTGTTCAGTTCTCTGAGATGACTTCTGTTGTGACTTGGCGCTATAGAAATAAACTGAATTGAAAGAAATTAAAAGGGAGTTCAAGCTGCACACTATAAAATATACATGACTAATCTCTTGGACGCTCTGTAAGACTAGCCAGAGTCTTTCAACAGCAACCAGGCTTCCTTTGACTCGCTGTCTTTGTTAATGATTTTGTGCATCCAAATTAGAAAGTCCAAACAAAAGACTGCAGCAAACCCTGCCACCAACCAACCCAGCTGGAGTTCATCCGTGGTAAAAGCTATTGACCACAGCCCTCCACTTACCCAGCGCAGAGCACGCATCGAGTCGCCTGGCGACCGCTCCATCGGCCAGATCCAGCAGGTATCCGATCAGAACCAGCCAACAGGCAGCGTGGTGGTGCCTGAACAACACAAGTCAGTGTTAGCTTGAGCTATTCGATGACAGCAACCCGTTTCCAATGGGTAAAATATGTGCAAGCATCGGACAATGGGACTAAAACTAAAGCTGAACTTTTTACATTTAAAGTTGGAATTTTTCTGTGTGATATTTTCACCTTTAAAACAACTGGAACAGATAAATCTGTCTGGTTCAGATGTGACGTTACAGAGCAAACCACAACAGGAGACACAACAACTTCACTGAACAGAAAACAAGTCAAATGTATATTTCTATTTATGCACTTTCTGTACATAATTTGTCAAGTAGGTTCCAGAAATCATGTAATTTTTGTTCTCTAAAATCTTACAGACATATTTTGGCCATTCTGAAGAAGTGTTCTGTGTAAAAGTTTCAGTTAATATCTTACCTGTTAAAGATAGATAATTGAAGCGACCTAATTTATAGAAATAATTTATTTATAGCTCGTCAATTTGGGCCATATTGTTGAACAGATAATGGCTTGTCTGAGCCACTTTGTGCTACAGCTAGCTGCTGCTGCTTGTTTAATAACCACAGAATATCATGATCAGCTTCCGTGTGTTGAACCCAAAGTGCAGGAAGACGAGGAGACTCCAGTAAAATAAGTAAAATGTTTATTATGAAGAAACAAAACAAAAAGCTGTTGGGGCAGCAGACTTACTTCAAAGGAGATACACGGAGGGATGACGAAACATGAAGCCTTGGACGGGTCAAGGACAATCCAGAGACACTGACAAGACACAAAGGGACTGAATATATACAGACACTAACAACGTGAAATGAAAGGCGCCTGCGGTGATTAGGATCAGACACAGGTGCGACAGTGCTGGAACACAGGAGGAGAAATGCTGAGGGGTGACAGGCAAACATGAGGAAAAACACAACATGTATGACAGGACTCCAGAAACCCTACACATAATTCTGTCAACAATCATGTTGAGAAACTGATGACAGTGTAAAGGTTTATGAAATAGCATTAGCATGACTCACTAAGTAATTTTGGAGACTGTAGTCTTTTTAAGACAGAAGTACTCCACTTAAGTCTGATTTAGGCCCCGCCCACATCACTAGACCACACCACCAGATATTTGCAAATACTGATATTAAGAAAAATATATATATATTACAAAAGAAAAAAAAATTTAAAGTGGAAATGTCGATTTAAAAAACTGTTTTGGGTGGATCAAGAACTTTTCAGAAATGAAGTTTCAGCTTTTTTATTTTTATTTTTGAATACTTGTCATAAAAACACATAGAGCTGTTTTATTAGTTTTTCTGCATTTGTCTCACTTTATCCTGACCCTCTTGTTGTCAAACTATAATTGTGAGCTACAATGAATGAAACTAAATGTTGTAAAGAAAAGACTTTGAGGAACACTTTTAGTCAAGCTCAGCAGGTCTTTTTCTGTATGTTATGTTCAATGGTGAACAAAGTACTCAATTCTAGTACTTAAGTAAAATTATTATTACTCATGGTCAAATCTTACTCAACTACAAGTAAAAATTGCTCAGTCAAAAGTTTACTCAAGTTAAAGTACTGAAGTACTTACTTTTGAAAATACTTAAGTATTCAAAAGTACATGTATTTAAATAAGTATTTAAAAGTACAAATTATATTTTCTAATATCAGTACATTGCTGTATTGTTTTGAGTGATTTTACAGAACCTCTCTGAAACCACCTGATGATGTATTGACATGTAGAACCACTCTAAACATGCCTTAATAAAACCTGTAAACTACAAATCATATCTTCCTGCATTTTACGTTTGTGGAAACTCATGGAAATCCTAACAGATGATGCACATTTAGTCTTTTCTTCAGCTTCAGTATTCATACACTGCATTGTTTGTGTAAAAGTACATATATTGACAGCAACAACTTAGCACAGGAGAAGAAACAGTAACACAGATAACTGAAAGTTCTGCCATACTTAACATAGAAGCTCACAAAACAATGAATGTTCAGCAAAGATGAATCAAGCATCATACCTGAATCAACAACTGGTCATCTGCATTTAAGGAAAGAAAAACAGCAACAATGGATTACAAAGCTGAGCTAAAAGGAACAAGTAACAAGAAGCTTCCTAGAAATGTAGTGGAGTCGAAAGTACATTTGTCTTTGAAATGTAGTGGAGTGAAAGTCATAAGTTCCCAAAAACACATACAATATACTGTACTCAAGTAAAGTAAAGATACTCAGAAAATGTACCTAAGTACAGTACTCAAGTAAATGTACTTCATTAACGTCAACCACTGGTTATGTTGTTAATGTGGATGCTCTCACCCTCCAGTAGAACAGCAGGGCTATTTTGGCCTTTTTGCTAGAACTACTTTATTTAAATGGAATAAAGTACAAATTGAGAACATCAATTCATCAAATACTCAACAGCGTGTAAACGAGGCTCCAAACTGAGTTGTCTTCAGCAGGTTAGATATGAACCGTTCATAACTTTTACACATAACGTCACCTCTAGATGTCTGAAATATCCCTTTAAGCGCTGCTGTTCTAATGTGAATAATCTGTTCCATGTGAAGCAACATTCTGTCTTTAACTCTGTTGTGTTTTTGCCTCTCAGGGCTCGTGCTTGAGTCCTGTTTGGTTTTTAATGCACCATTCTCACAAATCTAAAGTACAGATTAGTGTCAACAAAAAAGGTTGAATCATGTCATCTGGACTTCGTTTTTTTTGTTAAAAAGAAACGTTTCGCCCCTCATCCAAGAGGCTTCGTCAGTCTGAGGCCTAGCCATCTGGTATTACCCAGAAGCCACCCTGACTCTTGTGTTTCAAGCCTGCCTCAGATACCCCTGAAGTCTGGCCTTTTCACTAATGGTTTCAAAAACACAAAGGGGTATCTGAGGCAGGCTTGAAACACAAGAGTCAGGGTGGCTTCTGGGTAATACCAGATGGCTAGGCCTCAGACTGACGAAGCCTCTTGGATGAGGGGCGAAACGTTTCTTTTTAACAAAAAAAACGAAGTCCAGATGACATGATTCAACCTTTTTTGTTGTTATCTACCTGGATGACTGAGAAAACAAACTTTGTGTTACAGATTAGTGTCTTCTTGCAGCTGATAGTGAACTCCATTAAGGGCGTATCTGCTCACCCGTTGAGACTGCTGAGAATGGAGGCCATGCCCATGACCATGTTGGCCACTGACAGGGCGTTTGCTGCATTTTTACATGCAAACTCTTTGATCTGGAGTCCCGTGGCGTGGTCACTCAGGAGGAGCTTGTTGGCGTACTGGAAGAAATCTGAGAGCAAACAACAGCAGCGGTCAGTAGTTGTCTGTGTCTGCTCAATAACCTGTACGGTGGTCGGATGACCACACCAGCTGACCTGAGAGGTTTCTTAACGAGAATACTTTACTCATTGTAACTCATTAAGTCCAATGTTAAAGGGGTGGGGGTGAGGGGGTGAACTAAATGCTTTGATCAGACATTACTGTATAAGAATATTATAAACCAGTTACAAATTATTACACCAAAACTGATGCCCCGCCTGATGTAAAAGAAGTATCACTTACCAAGATGTTTGTTTTATGGACGGAGGTCAACCTTACGACACATTCATCCATTTTCAGATCAAAAACATGTTACTATAAATTCACTCAGTCATTGCAAGGAAGGCATACAACATGCATCAGTAGGCACGTGATTGATGTACTACTGATTATCTGTCATATCAGTGGAAAATTAAACATTTTAACTTGAATAAATACAGGAAAACAAACACGTGCAGTGAACTTCAACATCATTCTGAGAGTGAGAGCAGGATGTTGGGTCTGTGTTAAGAGGTCGGATGTTGTGTGGGAAACAGGCTAAAACATTTAGGGTTTAATCAGATATCCTCTGACCACAGTGGCAGTGAGTCAGACATGCAGCTGTCAGGCAGCAGACAGGAAGTCGATCAGCCTGTTGACCTAACACGAGCACGGGGCAGCAATCATTCAGCTGACTGACTGTTCTGATCAATTAATGACTGTTTAGTCGGAGCTTTCATGGAGCAAAGCCTCAACCCGAGTTTGTTGCTGTTACAGCTAACCTTCAAGGGCTTTGTGTTGTTTAGAGCTGTGAAAAAGTTTCACCTCCTGGGTTTTGTTTTATTTTTGAGACTCACTATTGAATCTTTAGTTCTGACTTGTTGAAGCAACACTGACGACAAGTTAAAGCCCTATATTCCTTCAAGGGATGCATGTCACCCACCTAGTGGTGGGGACAGCAGTTCTTTTGAGTGTACTGAATCCCTAGAATCAGTTCATTAGAATGCGTCGTTCATTTGAACGAATCGTTCGTGAACGATACAACGCTACACACACCGCCTGTCAGGCCGGACCTTTAGACTCAGGTCATTATATGATGGGAAATGATAGTTTTAGTTGTTTTGTCAGCACTTTTATGCACATTCTCCTGCAGTGTTGCAATATCTTGCCTCATGAGTTTTACTGAAAACCATCCAATGGTTTAGGAAATATTTTGCTAACAGTGTTGAGAGCAACAGTTGTCAAGGTTTTAAACAAAGGTGTGTGGATATACATATTCTGTAATAATAGTGATTTTTATAAATTTTACTTTTTATCTTCATGGTTTGGGTAAGAAAAGTCTGCAGTGCCTCAGATATTTTCCTGAGAGAGACGACTATGTACGTTAGACACATAGAAGAACGAAATCAACAGGGGATACTTTTTTCACAGTAATGATTTATCTGTTTATTTGTTGAGCAATTAGTCAAATTAATTTTGGAACTTGATTTGTTCTGTTAGTGTTTAGGACATAATTTGCTGTACAAAAGTTAAAAAAAACGCTCCATTCTTTAATACTGACAGATGAAAAGCTGCTGACACGGCCTCACTTCAGGACAGAAATATATTGTTGAACCAGAACAACAAAACATGATTTGTTTTCTATCGACTTCTTTTCTTCAAAGCTCATTATTTGCTCTCACGCTGTAGAGCTGTCCAAGACACATGTACAGATGTTAACCTGAAAACTTTTATTTTATTTTTTAATGTTGCAGTAGCAACCTTTCATGAGATTTTCTCCCTGAGCTTCCTGTGATTCCAAAGCCAGGCGAACACAAGAGACTCTTCATCTGAAAGAAAACAGCGAATGAGACAAAGCACACAGCCAACAACAACTTGTACTTTCACTTGACAGCATGCCTTGAATGGCTCATGTTGTGCACTTAAAGACAGAACTTACCACCTGGCATGTCAAGAACAAATTTGCAAATGAAATACTACAGAAAGCATATTGTATGTCCATCCATCCATCCATTTTCTTCCGCTTATCCGGGGTCGGGTCGTGGGGGTAGCAACCTAAGTAGGGAGGCCCAGGCTTCCCTCTCCCCAGCCACTTGGGCCAGCTCTTCCGGGGGAATCTCGAGGCATTCCCAGGCCAGCCGAGGAATATAGTCCCTCCAGCGTGTCCTGGGTCTTCCTCTGGGCCTCCTTCCGGTGGGACGTATCCGGAACACCTCACCAGGGAGGCGCCCAGAAGGCATCCTAAACAGATGCCCAAGCCACCTCAACTGGCTCCTCTCGACGTGGAGAAGCAGCGGCTCTACTCTGAGTCCCTCCCGGATGATCGAGCTTCTCACCCTATCTCTAAGGGAAGCCCCAGACACCCTGCACAGAAAACTCATTTCGGCTGCTTGTATCCGAGATCTCATTCTTTCGGTCACAACCCAAAGCTCGTGACCATAGATGAGGGTAGGAACGTAGATCGATCGGTAAATTGAGAGCTTCGCCTTTTGACTCAGCTCTCTCTTCACCACGACAGACCTGTACAGTGCCTGCTTCACTGCAGATGCTGCACCTATCCGCCTATCGATCTCACGCTCCATTTTTCCCTCATTCGTGAACAAGACCCCAAGATACTTGAACTCCTTCACTTGGGGTAGGACCTCCTCCCTGACCCGGAGAGGGCACTCTACCCTTTTCCGGCTCAAGACCATGGCCTCGGATTTGGAGGAACTGATCTTCATCCCGGCCATGTCGCATTCGGCTGCGAACCGCTCCAGCGAAAGCTGTAGATCACGATCTGATGAAGCCAATAAGACCACATCATCTGCAAAAAGCAGAGACGCAATCCTAAGGCCACAAAAACGGATCCCCTCAACACCTTGGCTGCGCCTAGAAATTCTGTCCATAAAAGTTATGAACAGAATCGGTGACAAAGGACAACCTTGGCGGAGTCCAACTCTCACTGGGAACAAGCCCGACTTACTGCCGGCGATGCGGACCAGGCTCTGACACCGGTCATACAGGGACCTAACAGCCCGTATCAAAGGGCCCGGTACCCCATACTTCCAGAGTACCCCCCACAGGGTTCCCCGAGGGACGCGGTCGAACGCCTTCTCCAAGTCCACAAAGCACATGTAGACCAGTTGGGCAAACTCCCACGCATCCTCCAGGACCCTGCTGAGAGTGTAGAGCTGGTCCAGTGTTCTACGGCCAGGACGAAAACCGCACTGCTCCTCCTGAATCTGAGGTTTGACTATCCGACGGACCCTCCTCTCCAGAAACCCCGAATAGACCTTACCAGGGAGGCTTAAGAGCGTGAATCCCCTGTAGTTGGAACACACTCTCCGGTCCCCCTTTTTGAATAGGGGGACCACCACCCTGGTCTGCCAATCCAGGGAACTTCCCCCGATGTCCAAGCAATATTGCAGAGTTGCGTAAGCCAACACAACCCTACAACATCCAGAGCCTTAAAGAACTCCGGGCGAATCTCATCCACCCCTGGGGCCCTGCCACCGAGGAGCTTTTTAACCACCTCGGTGACCTCAGCACCAGAGATTGGAGGGCCCGACCCAGAGTCCCCAGGCTCCACTTCCTCAGTGGAAGACATGCCGGTGGGATTGAGGAGGTCTTCAAAGTATTCTGCCCACCGACCCACAACATCCCCAGTTGAGGTCAGCAGCACACCACTCCCACTATAAACAGTGTTGGTGGCATACCGCTTTCCCCCCTGAGATGCCGGATGGTGGACCAGAATCGTCTCGAAGCCGTGCGGAAGTCGTTCTCCATGGCCTCTCCGAACTCCTCCCATGCCCGAGTTTTCGCCTCAGCGACCACCCGAGCCGCATGTCACTTGGACTGCCAGTACCCATCAGCTGCTTCCGGGGTTCCACAGGCCAAAAAGGCCCGATAGGACTCCTTCTTCAGCCTGACAGCATCCCTCACCGACGGTGTCCACCGACGGGTTTGAGGGTTGCCGCTGCGACAGGCACCGACAACCTTGCGGCCGCAGCTCCGGTAAGCCGCCTCGACAATAGAGGCACGAAACATGGTCCACTCAGACTCAATGTCCCCCACCTCCCTCGGAACATGTTCGAAGTTCTCCTGGAGGTGGGAGTTAAAACTCTGTCTCACAGGAGACTCTGCCAGACGTTCCCAGCAAACCCTCACAATACGTTTGGGTATGCCAGGTCTGACCGGCATCCTCTCCCACCATCGGAGCCAACTCACCACCAGGTAGTGATCAGTGAACAGCTCCGCCCCTCTCCTCACCCGAGTGTCCAAGACATGTGGCCGCAGATCAAATGAGACGATGACAAAGTCAATCATCGAACTGCGGCCTAGGGTGTCCTGGTACCAAGAGCACATATGGACACCCTTATGCTTGAACAAGGTGTTCATTATTGACAATCCATGACGAGCACAGAAGTCCAACAACAGAACACCACTCTGGTTCAGATCAGGGGGGGTGTTCCTCCCAACCACACCCCTCCAGGTCTCACTGTCATTGCCCACATGAGCATTGAAGTCCCCCAGCAGAACAAGGGAGTCCCCAGGAGGTGCACTTTCCAGTACCCCCTCCAAGGACTCCAAAAAGGGTGGATAATCTGAACTGCCGTTGGTGCATAAGCACCAACGACAATCAGAACCCGTCCTCCCACATGTAGGCAGAGGGAGGCCACCCTCTCATTCACCGGGGTGAACCCCAACACACAGTCACCAAGTTGGGGGGCAATAAGTATGCCCACTCCTGCTCGGCGCCTCTCACCAGGGGCAACTCAAGAGTGGAAGAGTGTCCAGCCCCTCTCAAGGAAACTGGTTCCAGAGCCAGATCCATGCATAGAGGTGAGTCCGACTATTTCTAGCTGGAACCTCTCAGCCTCACACACCAGCTCAGGCTCCTTCCCCACCAGTGAGGTGACAGTCCACGTCCCAATAGCCAGCTTCTGTAGCCGAGGATCAGACCGCCAGGGTCCCCGCCCTCGGCCACCACCCATCCCACATTGCACCCGA